GAGGTAAACCCTGTGGTCTAAGCTAGTTCCCCAGGGGACGAGCCTCACTGACTGCTCAGGGAAATCTGGCATTCCGTGTGTCATCCGCTTCCCAGAATGCTTTTCTAGAATGAGAATCAGCCCACTTACGTCCCAGGAAGGATGCCCAGTGACCACCATGTTCTTTGCCTACTGTAAGCTGATGCTAGAGATAAGCACCATTGAGCCTTAACTGACCCCCACCCCACCCCAATCTCTGGCTGCCTGTAGCCAAGCCTGGCTTCCTACAAGGTCATGGGGTGGTGGAAGTACATGTTTCACAGAAGGGAAAACTCTGCTTACCACAGAGGACAAAGCACCGAGCCCAGCTTCATCCAGCAGGACTGGTCCAGCCTGTCCCCTGGGCCCATCCGTTTTCCTAGTCGTTTTCCCTGGGTTAGTAGCAGTGATGTGGGAGCTGGGACATCCAGACCAACCTAGATTTGTCCCCCTTCCTAGTTTCCAGACATAGTGAAATGGTGTTCCAGACATGACCCCAATTCACTTCCTGAGGAGACAGTACAGACAGTGAATTACCCCAGACTGCCCCAGGAGGAACATTCTCACAAGGCTCTGAAAAGCATTAGCTAGGGGCAGAAAAGGAAAAATGAGGGGTTTGGAGGATGGAAAGACCTTGGAGGATGTCACCTCCAAGGACCAGGAGGTGACAAGGGGCCAAGCCTTGGGAGAAGAGTAAGAATATATAGGGCAAGAAAAGGCTGGAGGGCGTGCCAGCCAGCAGGAACAGCACCTGCAGTGGCATGGGGTGAGAGGGGCCCTGGCACTTTCCAGAAACAGTGAACCCTGCCACAGCTGTGTTCCTCAGAATGCTGGGAGGCACAACGGGCGTTCAGCAGGCAGGAACTGACATTGACAATAGGAGACTGGGCCAGATCACAGAGCGTCTTGAATGCCCAGCCAAAGGCGGGTCATGAGAACCGACAGAGCAGACCTCCCGACACAGAGCCCAGCATGGCTGGGTGGGTGTAACAGGTACCCAAGAGATGCACTGGGCCCCAGCCTATGGTTGCTTCTGAGTGCTGCTTATGGGGCCCACCTGGGATGAGAGGCACACAGTGAGTTTGCGAACAGGATGGCAGTGGTTGGGGACACCTCTAGGTAAAATTGGAAGCTTTCCTCTGTGTGTGCTGGGGACGTGCTCTGCACGGGTACATTCAGGAAGCCCCTCTTTCAAATGTGTTAAGGCAATTGTGAGGAACCTTTGAAAGGTGATCTATAAATGCACAGCTGACGTATTTGTGGGCAACCCGTGAGATGGTAAAGGAAGTGGCTGAGGGAATAACAAACGCATCTTTCTCACACATACAGAGAGGTAGAGTCAAACTGCTTGAATTTGTATCAAAGATAAACAAGATATCGTGCATACTATTTTTTTTTCAATTTTACACAACTGCTTTGGAATATTCAATATAAAACAAACATATTTTCACCTGTCCATTCAGGCACAGTCACCAGGCCCAATGAGCCCCAATTATGAGCATTCATATAAACACTTCACACTGTACACATTCTCTTCAAATGAGCAATGAGAAAGGATGTGGATGGGTGGATGGATGAATGGATGGATGGATGGATGGGTGGGGGGGTGGGTGGATGGATGGATGGATGGATGGATAAAATTGGCAAGGCCAGTTGAAATCTAGTCAGAGAATGGGCACTAAGGGTGAACCAAAGGAACTTGAACTATGGATATTAATCAGCTTTCCACACTGTGACAAAAACCTGAGGTAAACAAGGAAATAAGGTTTATTGGTGCTTGAAACTCCAGAGGTTTAAGTTCATGGTCTCGACCCCATGGCTTTGGGCTTGTGGCAGAAAAGCACATCGTGGCAGGAAGTGCATGGCAGAGGGGTCTGTTCACCTCACAGCAGCCAGGAAGCAAAAATGGAGACAGGAGGGGATCAAGGCACGCACCAATAACCCCTTCAGTTCTTCATTAGGTTATCCTCATGACCCGACTTCCTCCTTGGAGGCCCTGCCTCCTAAACCTTCTACCACCTCTGGCAGCACCACAAACTGGTGACCAAGCCTTTGGAGGCCACTTAAGCAGCACTGAATTTGAGTCTAGGCTCTGCCAGTCCTCAGAGGAACGGCATCACTTGGTTCTTTGTCCACACACTCCTCAAGGTTGAATGGAGACGACCTCTCTCATTCCGAGGACTGTCGTTAGGATTCAAGGATGTTTATCTGCTATGAGCAGCATCATACAGGCCAGGCCTGGTACCCAGTGCAGAGTCACCATAATGTACGATCTATCACCCTCTTCACTGTGGAAGCTCATGTCCCCATATGTGTGCCACTCATAACCCTGCCAACACAGGTACCATTTTCCATGCGTCTGCGGTTACGTTGCTTCAGGCTGGGCAACGAGCAAAAGAATTGGTTAAATCTGAAGTACTCTGAAGAGACACTTATTATAAATTGGAAATTGTAAAAGAGATTAAAGAAAGGAAGTTATATATTGATGTGTGTGTGTGTGTGTGTGTGTGTGTGAGAGAGAGAGAGAGAGAGAGAGAGAGAGAGGAGTGTGTGTGTGTGTGTGTGTGTGTGTGTGTGTGTGTAACTGTGCCCTGCCCATATATACACAGAGGGACAGGGGAACTGTGGAAGGCCCCCCTCAACCCAAATGTCACAGCAATTATCTCCTGGGTGTGTAGGCTAGGAAATCCCATCCTTCCCTCCCTCTTCCTCTTTCCCTCTCTCCTTTCCTCCCAACCTCCTTCCCTCCTTCCCTCTGGTTGTCTTCAACAATCTCTTCTCTGGGGACTTTGAACATGCTGGAGTGTTCCAGAGTGCAGCTCAGAGAGTTGACACCTCCTGTATGCCTCTGGGATGCTGGCTTACAGCAGTGAGCAGATGAGCCCTTGCGCGGTTTGAAGGTTTAGGAGAGTGTCTTTTCCATCAGCAGCTGGGGTGGTCATGAGGAGTCTGTGGACAAAGGACCCATTGGATGTTGGTCCACAAGTAGACGCTACAGTTCTTTAGGGTGGATCATTGTACTCACGGGCATGGGGTTGGATGGAATTAACCCCGCACAAGCTCCGCCCCCACCTTTGGAAAACTCTGGGAAGCCTCATACTGAGCAGGAAGACAGTGAAGTGGATCCTGGGAAGACTAACAAAAAAAGAGTCACAACTGGTCACCTGTCCTTCCCTGGCACCTGGAACACTCCAGCATGTTCAAAGTCCCCAGAGAAGAGATTGTTGAAGAAAACCAGAGGGAAGGAGGGAAGGAGGGAAGGAGATGGGGAGGAAAGGAGAGAGGGAGAGGGAGGAAGGATGGGATTTCTAATTATATTGAGAGCTGTTACACTCAGCTTTGAAGAGTCTCCCAAATATTAACTTGAATATCAGCCCAATGCCAAAATGCCTACAGCCAGCTGTCAAGGAATTGAAGAGAAAATTATTATCAGAAATAGGGAGTCTCAAAAAAAAAAAAGTCTATCCTTTTTGCTTTCCCTCCAAAGTTAATTAAGTGTGGTGGTGAGACCCGTGCTGTTAGGTCTCTTCATGTAATGAAGGGCTCCTCCAGAAATAATAGCCAGAGGCTCAGCTCACAGGGCTAAGAGGTTGAGGCAGCTGGAGCAACAGAGGGTGTCGGGAACCCTGCTCCAGCACAGCCATTCCGACCAGAGGGGGCATTTGTATTCAGACTGCAGAGCAGCTCCAGGCAAGAGCTGGAGAGGGGAGGCAGGATTTATTATGTCCCTTGGTGATGTGCTTGCTTCCAAGAGGGTTCCACTGGCTGTCATTTAGATTTCCACAGTCTCAATCCTTAGGAGAGCCTGCTGGCTGCTCTCACAAAACAAAACAAAAAAAGAGGGGCTGTGTAAAAGGGGTTGGCCATGAAACAAGACCTGACCTTGTTTCTCATCAACTGGAAACATAGGCTGTCACTACTGGAAGGGATGTGTGGAGGTGACCTGGTATCTGGGTGTTGTGAGTACAGCTATTGAGTGAGTAGTGGAGGGGGGAGAAGGAGGGAAGGAGAAGGGGGAGGGGAGGGAGGCAGGGAGCGAGGGAGGGAGGGAGAAGGGAGGAGAGCAAGATGGAGGGCAGAGAACACACTGAAATACCTGACAAGGGGAGAGAGTGGTAGGAAAACCACTTCCAGCCACACCGTGGACTGTTACAGCCTTTAGGGTTGAGTGATCTGTGTGCTGGCTGACCTGGAAGTAGAAGAGTGCACACTGCTAAATACAAACCAGTAAGACTTGGGTGTCAGTGTTGAACACTGAGCAAGGATGGAGTGGACAGATCCTGGAGACAGCAGACAACGCTAAGTCTAGCCCTCTGCCTGCTTTTGCACAGGAGACAAGGATGCTTTGAAATCACTTGGGGTGGGGAAATCAAGATGATGTCGTTGCAGACGAAAGCAACATGAAATTTGCAGTTCCTTGTGCATCACAAAGCTTGACTGGAGCACAGTCCGTGCCTTCTTTGGCACATGGTCCTCTGCGGCTGCTTTCATGCTACAGTGGCAGAGGTGTCAGTTCAGCAGACATCCTGCAGGCTGGAGAAAGAAAAGAATACAAGGTGCCTGGTTCTTTCTCTGAAAACATTATTGGTCCCCAGTTTAGAGTGCTCCCCACACTTAATAAGAGTAAGTTTAAGCCATTACTTTATCCACTCAATGTATCATTTCATCGACAGATAACAAATGCCTGCTGGTGGGGCCAAGCACCAGGAACCAGCTGGGAGCAAATAAAAGCAGTCCTATCCTAGAACCCCCCTTTCATTTATTTTCTCCCCAGGGTATTCTAGCCCTTACATTCTGGTACCCTTCACCACCCCATCACATGCCCTGACCAGCTTGGTCCTTCCTAAGGAAGGGTACCTAGAAGAGTCCCCGTGCCTCCTAGTTTCTCACCAGGTGATGAAGTCTAGAAAGATTCACCTTGGAACTGGCCATGCTGCTGGTCTAATGATGAAGGGCTAAACACTCAATCTTTGCATTTTCAGCTCCTGTGACCCCAGAGCTGTCAGCTGATGGTCCTCAATCTTAGGCCACAGATGGAAGCAGGCCCCAGTCATGCAGAAGGACATGACAGCCTATGTGCATGAGCCCTCGCACATAAAGCAAAAGCCACCTCAAGACACAGCCATCAGCACCTCGGCCTCCATGAGGATCCTAGAAGGTAGACACATACTACAGACCTGGAAGGAAGGTGACGTGGAAGACCAGCTGAGGACTGGGCTTTGAGCCTTGAAGACCCCGTCTTACTTAATTCTTACTTATGTCCTGTACTTCACGAGGAATAGCTTGATCTATTCCCACAACATTAGGCTAGTCACTAGACCTTCCCCAACCTTCCTTTGGCTTGGCCAGGAACCTGAAGCCCAGTGTTTGGAGCTGGAAGAGCAGTAGCCAAGGCCCAGGGTGAGTGTAGACGCTACAGGGCCCCAGAATGGAGCCCAACGGCACTATCCACTCCTGTTGCTTAGACTCTACTGTATGGAAAGTCACCATCAGTCTGATCCTCACCACCCTCATCCTCATCACCATTGCTGGCAATGTGGTCGTCTGCCTGGCTGTCAGCCTGAACCGTCGGCTCCGCAGTCTGACCAATTGCTTCATTGTGTCCTTGGCGGCTACTGACCTGCTGCTTGGCCTCCTGGTGCTGCCCTTCTCTGCCATTTACCAGCTCTCTTTCAAGTGGACCTTTGGCCCGGTCTTCTGCAGCATCTACACCAGCCTGGATGTGATGCTCTGCACAGCCTCCATCCTCAACCTCTTCATGATCAGCTTGGACCGCTACTGCGCTGTCACAGACCCACTGAGGTACCCTGTGCTGGTCACCCCAGTTCGTGTTGCCATTTCTTTGGTCTTCATTTGGGTCATTTCCATCACCCTGTCCTTCCTGTCTATTCACCTGGGGTGGAACAGCAGAAACGAGACCAGGGGAGACAATGACACCTCCAAGTGCAAAGTGCAGGTCAACGAGGTGTACGGGCTGGTGGACGGGCTGGTCACCTTCTACCTGCCACTTCTCATCATGTGTGTCACCTACTACAGAATCTTTAAGATCGCCAGGGAGCAGGCCAAAAGGATCAATCACATCGGCTCCTGGAAGGCAGCCACCATCAGAGAGCACAAAGCCACCGTGACGCTGGCTGCGGTCATGGGAGCATTCATTGTCTGCTGGTTTCCCTACTTCACGACGTTTGTTTATCGTGGGCTGAGAGGGGATGATGCCATCAACGAGGTGGTTGAAGGCATCGTTCTGTGGCTAGGCTATGCCAATTCAGCCCTGAACCCTATCCTGTACGCTGCCTTCAATAGAGACTTCCGCATGGCTTACCAACAGATCTTCTGCTGCAAGCTTGCCAGCCACAACCCCTACAAAACCTCCCTGAGGATGAACAATTCTCTGCTGTCCAGGAACCAAAGCCGAGAAGTCAGATGGCAGGAGGAGAAGCCCCTGAAGCTCCAAGTGTGGAGCGGGAAAGAAATCACACACCCTCAAGGAACCCCAGACAGGTAAACCTTTGTGTGGGTTGGAGGTGCCGGGAGACACCCCACCCTCTGCATGGGTGGTGCTGAGACCATTCCGTGAGCATTTTTACAGAAATCAGCTCTCATCCCCCAATGGCTCTCTTAGGTAGAACATCTACCCTCGGTTTTAGAAGGCCACATTAAAGGTACCAGAGATCTTATCAAGGGCCACTGATCTAGGATTTGGGCAAAGTGCTACTCAGCCCAGAGCTCAGAGGCCCTTCTTTCTAACTAAATTGCCTTTCTACTCAGGTGACCTAAGTAGAAGGCCCAACTCTGCCACATAGGCTTTGTGAGTGGTCAGTTAAAAACCTTCAGAGCAACACTCAAAAGCCATGCACAAATCAGCCCTTCCTTGAGGACTGTTCAAGTTAGTAGGGAATGAAAACGGCAGAGGTCGGAAGGTGGGGCCTCAGTGGAAACGCAAGTGTGGGCCTTGTGTGTGGAGCGTGGGGAAAGACAGAGACAGGGACTAGGGCAGGCTTTGGAAAGATGAGTGTGGTTAGCAGAGCTGAGCCTTGGACAGAAGACCACGGCAGCCCCTTTGATGTGGGCAGGAGAGTGAGCCTGTAGATGTGTAAGAAGGAAGTTGCATTAACCCATGGGTACGGGAGGCGGGGGAGAGAACAGCAAAATCTTGTAGGCTACTTAAAAAACAAAAAGACTGCAGAACATTGGGTATCCGGAGTGCAAGTGATAGCAGGGACAGGGTGCGGGAACACAGTAACAAAATCCCACCTCTGAGAGGTGTCCACACTGGGAAGAGAAAAAAATCAAAATGAAATTTCAATGAATTCCCTGAGGACAAAGTCACCGCAGGGTATCGAGGGAACCCATAGCACTGTCCTGGGAGCACTCAATAAGCTCTCTGTGTACAGAGCCCTGTGGCACCGTCCAGGGACACACCAAGCAAGCAAGCCATGTACAGGACCCATGGCACTGTCCTGGGACACACTGAGGACATTTGCTGTATGTAAAGCCAGCTCCTCCATGAGTCATGAACAGATGATTAAAAAACACCTAACAGACAAGTTGCTACTTAATGTGGCTTTTCTTTCTCTTCCCCCAGACCATACCTCTGCCCCTACAGTGCTGGTCTGCAGAACAGACCTATTCATTCATTCATTCATTAGTTCATTCATTCATTCGCAAGCCCTTGTGATAGGTTCTGAGTTCTGAGGAGCAACTATGAGGGCCGAACTGCCTCATTACATTCCTGACCTTCATCCCTTCTGCCCTCACAGGTGTCACCCCCTCCTAGGTGTGGAGGGTCCTCCCATAGATGTCACACCTGTCCCCCTCCCCTCCATATCATTGAAAACCCTATTGCCCCTGCTCCTGAACTCTTGCTACGGGGTCAATCCTGTCATCTGGGCCTCCGGACTCCCCCTCTCAAGTCTACCCTCCAAGCCAGCCCAAGGTCACCCTGCACGTGGAGACTCCCTTGTCCCAGCCTGATAGGTAAAATGCTCCCCTCAATCACCTCATTCTACCTCTTCCATCCAGGGGGTCACAGAGCTGATTTAGTTCATGGTGGAGGAAAAATAAAGACATGGGGTTACAGACTAGACAGAAGAAAGTAGCCACTGTTTGGCCAGTGTGTCACCTTGAATCCATCATCCCTGATTGCTCTGTAGCTAATATTCACCTGTTTTGACCCTGTTCCTCAAACATTCACTCAGTACATGCTTGGCAGAAATGGCTGGGTCACAACAGGCTCCCTCCACTTGATCTCTAGAGGCCAAAGGAGGGCATCCGATCCCCTTGAGCTAACTATAGACAGTTGTGGGCCACCTGACACGAATGTTGGGGGTCAGCCTAGGTTTTCTGCAAAAGCAGCACAGCTCTCTAGCTCCTAATCTCCACTTCGCAGACAGGCCACCGAGGCTCAGAGTTCAGCAGGTTCCCCCAAGTAACACCAGCTGGGAGTTCCTAGCTGCTCCACTACTGAGTTTTTTCTGGACGCTGGGCACCTGGCAGGTCTGAATGTCCACATTTTCTTCTGTCCCCAGAGTCACTCTGGGGAAAGCCAAGGCCAATTAAGAGATGGCGCTTGCCTGGCTCACTCATAGCTGTGGCAGAGTGAGTCCAGAGCTCAGATCCTAGAGAGCTCAACTGTCGTCTGTCTTCAGCCTCTAGGAACAGCAGACAGGCTCGGCGGAGCGGGGGAGGGGGCAGAGGAGCCCTCACACTTTAGAATTACAGCAGACTAAGAACAGATAGCCCTTGGTTTTCTCTGCGGTGCCTGGGTGGCTGTGACCTTGAGCATCCCCCAGGAAGGTCAGTTCCCTGCTTTCCTGCTGACTGGCAGTTTGTCCTTTCTGTCTGAGGGCAGGAACAGAAATTACCCAGAGCCATTAACTCTACTCCTGAAGGGTGCCGACCTAGACTATCCTGAGTGAAGAGGATGGAGACCTCAGGAGAGAGGTTAGTCAACCCGGCTGCCCCTACTTTCTCTGTTGCCTGGGGGAAGCCAGCTCCCAGTTTGAGGCTTTGTCTGCCCCTTCCTCAGCCCTGCTGTGGGAGCACCTCGCCGGCCTAACTGCATCACTACAAGTGAGCTTTTACCAAGTGTTCGCCAAGGCCTTTGTTAGATGCCTGAGCTGTCGGTACATAGCAGCAAACAGAACACAGACCCCGTTCTCAGGTGAGCAGTACTTCTCACAGAGCGGTCCTGAACCACTAGCAGCTGCCTAGAGACAAGCCGACCGGCGACAGGCTAACACTGCTCCAAATGTGGTAGAACTAAGGTTTCAATCCATGCCTTTCTGTCCTCCAAGCCTGGCCTCTGGCCACCAACAAACCCCTGGACTTGAACCTGGCTCTGCTTTTGACAAATACCTCAGCCACAGTCCTGTAGACACAGGAAGGGGAAGTCGGGGCATTAGAAGGTTTTGACCTATCTGTAGTGCCGAGCAGGTGGAGAGGCTGGACCCTTCAAGTCTTATGCCCCTCACTCGCTTGCTCCCATAATCTCTGGGGAGATAAGACTCACAGGCGGGCACCTAGCCTATCAGTACCTCGGAGTGTGCACTTCCTCATTCCAGCAGAGCCCCTGTGTATCTGCTCCTGACTCGACAATGACCAGATGCCTCAAGGGCTGGAGTACGAGCCAGGTACCTTCTCCTTCACCTTTCCACACTCCCCTTGCCAAGGAGCCAGAGCTTCCTCCAGTTCCTGAGTCTGCTTTCCTCCAAAGCCACACAAGACCTTTCTAAAAATGTCCTGACAATAGTCCAAACCCTCTGTTGCTTTGGGAATGAAAGTCAAAGCTGACCCATCCACCAAAGCTCTGTGCTACTTGGAACCTACGATTGCACTGATCTCCTCTTGTGCACACAGTTAGCACCTCCCAGGCTACAAGACGTTGTGCCACCTTCAACTAGTGATATATTTGCTCCCCTACACTGTAAGTTCTCTGAGGCTAGGCCCTGCCCCTGTCTCTTGTTGTTGGATCCCCGACAGCCAATCTTGTGCCTGGCATGCTGTCCAGATAAATTATTGTCCTAGGTCTATGCAGACCCTGAGAAGTGATGAACATTAGTTACCCCACCGTAGACATCAAGAAACCAAGCCTCAAAGAGGGCAGTGTGGGAGCCTAGGAAAGCTCAAAGAGAGTTTGTTCCCTTTTCTTATACATCAGTGGGCCCTCCCTCGATCCCTGACACCAGGTCAGATCTCACAGCAGCATCCAGGGCCATCTCTGAGTCATAAAGCCTCAGATGGGAAGCTTTTCCAGACCTACCCACTCCCACCAGCTTCCATAGATGACCCTGGAAGAGAGAAGGCACATGACAGTAACAGAAAAATGTATGTCTAGATAGGACAGTCATCTGTAGACCCAACCACAGCATGCCCTTACTATGGGGTGGAACTGCTTTGTTTCCTGTAAGTTCATTCTCTGGAGATGGGCTGCAGGGTCTGTGGACATGCCAGAGCTTCGTGTCTGACAGACACACTTCCCCAGAAGGGCTGTTACTAAGAGGAGTTTCTGCCCTAAACTTGTTGACTGGTTCAAGAGCCCAAATGTATTCATTTCCATCTTCTGACTCTCCAACAAGGCCTAGATTTTTGGCATGTTGATTTCATCATTTCCTAACCGCTCCTCCGCAAATATTAAAAGACAGTGACGCCCCCTGTCCCTGGGGTCCTGTTGGCTGCCTTGTATAAGTCAGGTCTCCCTCTCTGCCCTGATGTCAGCTGCTGGAAGTTGGGTAAACTCAGTATGAGTCATGGTGCCTCTACTCACTGGTCGGTGACAGTCTGAGGTCCACTTTCCAGTCTATAAAGTGGTGACAAGTCTCCCTGTCTTTTAAAGGTGTAGGCCCTTAGCATCCCTGGCATATGGCATGTGTGTGAACAAAGGGGATTCTTTACTTCATCATCTATGTCTTTCTTTTCCTGTCTACATCTCATCACTTCATCTTTCTTTCACATTTTCTCCCTCTCAGTTCAGATACTGTCAACCCACCAATTTAAAGTGCACACACTAGTGTTTTCCAGAACCTTCACAGAAGAGTGTGGTCAATGTCATAGCCTATTTTGGAGTGCTTATCTTCCCCCAAGGGAACCCTATTCCCTACTGTTGTCCCTTCCCAATTCCCGCAGCCCATTCCTGCATCCTCTGACTCAAAGGAAGTCCCTTGTCTCTGTAGATTTCCTGATCCTGGATATTTTGTGCCTGGCTTCTTTCATTTAACAAGATATTTTCAAAAATTCACTTTTCCTGTGTCTGGTCTTCCTTTATCCATCCTTTTTGTCTTTGTTTTCCTCCCCTTCCTTCCTTCCTTCCTTTCTTCCTTCCTTCCTTCCTTTCTTCCTTCCTTCCTTCCTTCCTTCTAAGGCCCATTCATCTTTCACCAGGTGGAGGCACAGGGAGGTTCTGTGGGTCTTTGGACACAGACAGTCCTCCATGGGCTCAACTGAAGACCCATTGTAAGGTTGTGTCTGGGACCTAGCTGGCCCAGATTCTACCCTACTCTTTTTACCCCCTCCAGGTGGCCTCAAATGCCTAGATACTACAAACCTGCTCCGTGAGACAGCCATAGCCACAGATAACCACGGCCACAGGCAGCCACGGCCACAGGCAGCATGACCACAGACAGCCATGGCTTCATCTTCCTTCTCTGGAAAGAGTATGGGATATGGGAGCCCCTTCTATCCTCAGAGGAAGTCAGAGGAAAGAGAATAAAAAGAGAAGTAGGGATCCCCGTCACAGCCTCAAAAGTCCAGATGATATAAATCAGAGTCCCAGAAGGGTCACTCACTGGAAACAGAGCATCCAAGGATGGGTGCCTTTGGAGCCAGCTGGGGGTTGAACCAGCTTCACCTTCCTCCCTAGACTATTCCTCTCCTCTTCTCTCTCTCCAAGGCAAGTCAGCAGGTGCTGCCTTCCTAGGGCCTGGGAGGAGACGAAAGAGCCACTGCATTGCTGCCTTTTCACCTTTAAGATAAAAGACTTCACCCAGCTGAGAAGACAGGAAAAAAAAAACCCAAAGGCCCTTTCCCTGTGGGACCCAGCTCCTGGCAGCAAGCAGCTTGGGAGCACAAAGGAAGTGCCCTTCCCCTCCCCACCCCTACCACCTGATGCTCTGGGCTAAACCAGGTTATATACCTTCCCAGACCCATGGGAGACATCCCAGCAGGAAGCAGATGGGGAAAGCTTTTCTTCAGAGTGTCAAGCTCCGTATCTAAAATTGTAACAGGAAGAAAAATTCCTATTCCTTGTGCCTTTGAGGGACTGTGTCTAGTTCAGATGCAAGAATTCTTACTGCCATCCGGGAATTTTCCGCCCTGTTCAACACAGTGTCACCCTGCTCAGCTTCTCAGCCTAGGAATGGCAGGCTATGCCATACAGATGAGGTACATGTGAGGCTGGGATAGCCCAGAGCGTGTAAGTACAGACTGTGACATCTGTGCGGTCTATCTCCTAACAGTGAGTTTCTCGGATCATGTCAGTTGCTAAAGAGCACACACCTGTGCTTGGTCTGCCACCATAGCTGAAAGGCAGCCATGAACAACAAGTAAATGCATGAAGGCGGCTGTGTCCCAGTAAAGTATTGTTTATGGGAACTAAAATGTCAGTTGCATAACATTTTCATGGGTCATGAAGGGCTGCTTTACATTTTAATAGCCTTTTTTTTTATTAGCACAAACAGTAGGTAAGATTGGACCCATGGACTGTAATTCACCAATGCTGGTACAGGGGTAAGATCTGAATACTAATTCCCAGTCATACACTGTCTGAGACTTTATGTATCTGCTTTGCCCTTTCTAAGCCCCAGCTTGCCCTTCTGAAAAAAAAAAATGGGAATTAAAATCATCTTCCTAAAAGGGCCAGGAGGAGGCTTATCACCAGCTCACTCACACTGCCTGGCGCAGCTATGCTCGAACCTGGAAAGCAGGGATTTTATTCCCCAGTGACAAAAGTTTGGGGCTTCAGTGGATTTGTCTTGGGCCAATCCTGGGTTACTCAGATCAGCTCCTGAGCCTCTTGTCCTTCCTTCATCTGAAAGCTGGGAACTTGGATTAGTCACGGGGGACTCTTCCAACAATAACTACATATAAATGCTTAACGAGGGAGTGAAATTATGCCCACAACCCCAACTGTGATGTGTCAAGAATCTCTGGCAGCAGCAATGAGGAATATGGTTTTCATACTAATGAGTCACTTAGCGTGTGGAAGAGAATGCAACAAAATTTGTTCTTGTCAGGATGAGCAAGGCCAGGTGAGGGCATTGGCAGGCACCAGCCCATTCTGCAGCAAGCTCTCCAGCCTCCGGAACAGGCGGCCTGGCTTCCTGGTGGCTCTGTCCTTTACTGTAGGGGTGTCTGCTGGCTGCAACCCTGAAAAGCACACATCCTTCTTTGAGACTCAATTCCCTCACCTGTAAAAGAGCTGGTCTGCCCCTGCAGAGACAGCAGGGAACCCCGGTTGGGTGACACTGGTGTTTATGTAACACAGAAGCTGTTTACAGCAGAATGTTGGGAGCCAGGTTGGGATAACGTCGGAGGGTGTCTGAGAATCCCCTGACAGGAACAGGGAGGACGATGCCTTCCCTGCCTAGAGATAAGGAGTGAATGGGGGCCCTGTAGCAAGTGCTGAAGAGTGAGTAGCAGGTATTGATTGCCACATAAGCATCAGTAGGTCTTCTTGTCCTAAATGGGACCCATGCAAACCTGTAGGAGACAGAGCGAACTGCCTTACAGCCCACATAAGACAGGCCTGTGTTGGAGAACCACCCACATGCCATCACCACCCACTGACAGGAATTCAAGATAGGTGTCAGGGAAGTCCCTGACTCTATTACTTTCAATTCATCCCAGATGAAGGGCGAAAACAGGCCAGAGACAAGTCCACACAGGTCCAGCCAGGTAAGACGATAAATTTTCACTGCAGTGACAGGAGTGTGCCCAATTCAGACGGCCGCAGCCTGGAAAGCCGACCCCAGCTTGAATGAGAGCTCTCAGAGCTACCCCACTGCAGCTCCCCATACAATCTGCAGGTGGCTGCACCACCCAAGGGTCTCCTTCTCCAAAGAGATTGTTCGCTGCTGTATACGCTCGGGAGGAAAGTTGCTTGTAAGTCTTACGACCTCCTGAGCCACCTTCCCCCTCTCGTGGGGAATGTTAATTTTTGTTTAAGTAGAATCTACGGTTGAAAGTCAGAGAATCATCATTCTTCCTGACACGGACTCCTGAAGTGATGACTCTGCACCGCCTTCCTCTCCCTGTCCAGGGGCACATGTGGCCCCCAAGTCACAGTGGAAAGATGGAAAGATGAATCTTGTGCCCTGCCCCTGTGAGGGTTAGCCTCTAGCTAGCAACTTTGCATTCATATCTCTCTCTCTCTCTCTCTCTCTCTCTCTCTCTCTCTCTCTCTCTCCTCTCTCTCTCTCTCCCTCTCTCCTGACTGCTGATGTTTGCTCTGATTCATCGACTCCCACTCTTGCAAGTTTCACACCTAATCCCCACCCATGAAGTTGACCATCTGAGGCCCAGCACCCCGTGGAAGCTGCCTCTCAGGGGCAGCCAGCTGACCTGGGCGTTACTTCCTTTCTCTAAAACTGCCCCAGCTGTAAAGCGCGCTGACCGTGTTGGGCACCTCCCTCTGGGTGCAGGGCAAGGACTGTCAGCCTGGGTACCCCCTGGGGTAAGAGTCTTCCTCTTGTTCCGCACAGGAAGCAGGCAGACCCTGAGTTCACAGATGAAGGAAAACCTTAAGTTTCCAGTGTCAGACACCTCTGTTCCATCCGTGACCCCAGTGACTCTGGACGCTGAAGGCGGTCACCACAGGACTCACCCCACCTCCAGCCTCTGGGGTAAGTTTCCCAGGCTGTCTGGGCCCCTCTAGACCCGTCCTGTGCCATTTCTATGCAGGCACAGTGGAATGTCTAGCCTGGATCACAGCTGGCCGGCTGCTAAGATCTTCTGGGCACTATCAAGAATCAGCCCTCTCCACAGGCCCTGGTGTCTGTTTGCTGTCAAAAGCAGCTCCATGACAAGCATCCTCACACAGAGAACACCCAAGTTTCTTTCAGACTTTTCCTAGAAACTGAATTTCTAGAAACAGAGTTCCAGTCAGAGGGAAGGGATATTTTAGGCCTTTTGTTCCACTTTCTTGGTCTTCGGGGCAGGCTATGTGGCCTTCCCTGACGCTAGCCACCTCTGAGGGTATCACTTCCTCAAAGCCATGTCAGCAGCAGAATCCTGGAAGTGTTGCATGGATGTGTGGTCAGCTGACCAGAGCAGAGGGTAAAGCCCAAACAGGAAGAAAGATTGCTGGCCTATAAAAATGTCAGTGGGAGTGGAGGAAGGAGAAATAATTCTCTGAGGGTTCTGAGGAGGAACCATGTGAAGGAAAACCCCTGCCCTAAACTCAAGAGAGCACAGTAGGGTCTGGAACAAAGAGACCAGCATGGATATGCAGGCGCTGGATCCAGGCTTTGGAGTCCCAGAGCTGGGTTAAATGAGAGGCTTCACCAAGCTCCAGGTTCTCTATTGATGAAACGGGCAGGCTACTTTGCCTGCCTCCTCAGGGTGAAGTGAAATGATACAAGGAAGTGAACTTCCAGAATTAATCAGCTACCCTGGGGTCTTTTTCATAAGCGTGAGGTCTCCTTTATCTTAGATAAACAATCCTGGGGCTGGCAGTAAGGCTCACTGAGGGAGGTACATTCCACCAAGGCAGATGACCTGCATTTAATCCCCAGGAACCACATGGTACAGAGAGCTGATCATGGTGTACACATGTGCTTGCTCTCTCATACACACACACACACACACACACACACACACACACACACGTGCATGCACACTAATTTTTTAAAATCCAATTTCAGGAGAGGATTAGTTTGAACAACTAGGCTGGGCGGATAAAAGGCTAGGGCTAGGGAGGCCTGAGTGAGAGTCACGTTCCAGAAAGAATGGAACCATGCATAGCTCCTGACCCCCATCTCTGCTTCACACACCCCGAGGAGAGCGTGGCAAGGAGTGTGGCACAGTTGGGCTCCCCAGAGGTTGTGTCCTTCATCTGCTTCATTCCACGGGAAAGTGGCCGAAGTACGTGGGCTCCAGGTTCTTATCTTCCAGAGATAATGTGATCAACGGATCCTCTTCCCCACATGGGAGCCGTGATGTGAAGGGAGGCCTTGGAGAGCCTCACGGGTTTTTTTTTAACTTAGCACTCCAATGTCAGGGTGGCAATGACAC